TTTAAATGCACATGAAAATACTTTTATTAATTTTCATTTTTAATTTATTAAAGCACAGGAGTGAGCATTTTCAAAAGTTAGTTTAAACCTAATATTAATTAACTTTTTTTTTTTTTGTATTTTGGAATTAGTTTCTTTATTTTGCATCACACACATATTAATTGAACAATGATATTGTGACCCCAAATGAAGTGAAAAAAACTATTCAGCTAAGCATTGATGCTGACTTATCTGAAAAAGCAGAGAATAAAAATGAGTTAAAAGCAATAAACATCTAATATGAAAAAGACTAATTGATCAATAATAATATGCAAAATCTAAATAATCAAATAATTCTTCAACTGACTTTATGACAGTTGATAAACATGTTAAAAAAATAAAAGACAAAATGAGTCATTATGAAAAATTATTAAGAATAAACTAGAAATAGTTATAAAATAATATGGAAAAAGACAAAAAAAAAAAAACGTCAAAGAAAGTCTTATATAAATCAGCTAATCGCCAGTATCATAAAACGAAAGAAGGAATTTATTTTTATGCCTACAATTTGAAACCAACTCGTTCCTTTTGTTCAACAGTTTTTCCACTGTATGCGTTAAAATAAAATACTTTTCATTGAGACAAAGATTGCAAATTTTAGACGAAGGATTATATGTTTGGCAGCGCTTGATAATTTTCCATTTAATAACAAACGAAAAGTTTTCTCCTTTAAGTTTCCAAATTTCTTTAGATAACTCCGTATCATTGCTGTACTTAATTAAATTAAAAGATTTTAAATGGTTTGCATACCTTAACTTGAAAGGGGTCTCGCTAATACCATATATATATATATATATATATATATATATATATATATATATATATATATATATATATATATATATATATATATATATATATATATATATATATATATATATATATATATATATATATATATATATATATAGGGGAAGTGGGGGCATAATCGCCCCCGTAACGTTTGGAATAATGTTATATGAAAATAAAAACGAAATGTGTTTTTTTAGCAGTTTATTTCAATAACCACATCATTAAGCTTTAAATTGATGCATTTAAGAAAAAAATTAAACAGGTTTTGAAGATGTTATTACACAAAAATTACACTTAGTGAAAAAAACGGTTTTGCCCCCATTATGAGGCACAACCGCACCCTCAAAAAAATTGATGGGGCTACACCTTTCATGGTACATTTTTTTTACAATTTTCACAGCTCAGATGATTTGATGATTTTGTTGCATGTTTGCATATTGTGAAGGCATTCTTTGTGTTTACATTTTGAGTTCTGCCCCAGAAGAGAGTTCAACCCAGAAGAGAGTTTTAAGAAAGAATTCAGTTTCATAGATTAATTATCAGATTATGGTATTATCAAAAATGACTTTCACTTCATGAAATAATGCTGATGACACATATTTTTAACACTAAAATTAAATATTACTTAATTATCAAAAAGAAGGCCAGGAAAAGTATGAAGTAAATGTAATATTTTTATCAAAATAAAAATTATTATTCACAACTTCTCAGAAACTTAACATTCACTCTTTTTGACATATGCAAAATGAAGGAAACTGTTTTACTAACACGTGGTATGTTTTTTGTCATACTAGATAACATTTTTTGAAGAGAAATGTTAAAAAACGGTTGTGCCTCCATATGCGGTTATGCCCCCACTTCCCCTACATACATATATATATATATATATATATATATATATATATATATATATATATATATATATATATATATATATATATATATATATATATATATATATATATATATATATATATATATATATATATATATATATATATATATATATATATATATATATATATATATATATATATATATATATATATATATATATATATATATATATATATATATATATATATATATATATATCAGGTAATTTCAGTATGACCTTGATAAACTTTGCCCTCTCATAAAATATAAATGCGTATAGCGAAAAAACCCAGGCCGAAGATTCTTTTTTTAATAAAAAATTTTCTTAAAATTACAATGGCATGTCCAAATTTGAAAAAAGTATAAAATAAATACGTTTTTTTAGATGAAACGAACATTATAGTTTAACAATATGACCTGTTCTGATCGATTACTGCCCATTTTTCTCAATTATATTCTCTTTCTTAGTCGGAGTTCTAGTATTTTTTGTGAAAATTGATAGAAATATTGTGTTTTGACAACAATATATAATTAATATACGTCAGAACCAATTAAAACTAGGATCAACAGTAAATTAAGGAATTTTTTCAAAAGATTTTAACTAAATTCATGTTAACCCTGATGAGCGGAATTGATCTAAAGAAAAAAAAGCAAGTTTTCATTAAATATTAAAAAAACCTGAAGCAAAAAAAAATGATATCTAAAGCTCTTGTTTGGACATAATACGCATGCTTATTCTAAATAAAAGAACTCGAATAGCTTTAGTACAAAAATATTAATTGCTCCTAAAAGATTGATTTATATAAATACTAAACATACGATATATGTGCAGTTCCATAGTGTAGTGGTTATCACGTTCGCCTAACACGCGAAAGGTCCCCGGTTCAAGCCCGGGTGGAACTATATTTTGAAAAATTTTTGTAAATTATTGTTTTTTTAAATAGATATTTTTATTTCTAATGTTTAAAATCACAAACATTAATAGATCAACAAAAACTTCATCATACTAAACAAAATAAAATATTTACTAAAAAGTGGAAATATTTTCCCGGTGTCGTATCGAGACCAATTTGTTTTCAACCGATTAATGTTTTTATTTTCGCCCGGTTTATTTTTCAACCGGTTTTAGAAATTTTCATTTTTAACTAATTTGAGATAATTTAATTTTCAACCTTTATAGGCAATATTCAATTTAACCTACTAGTCTGTTTTTAAATAACGTTTTTTTCTATGCGATTTTAAGGTATTTTTATATAAAAAAACACTAACAATAAATCAGTTATAGACAAGTGTACAACCAAGAAGTTTGGCTTTAAAACTCTGCAAATTTCAAATCTTAGCAAATTACTTCACAATTAAAAAGATCAGAATCATGGTGCAAAACTTTCGTAACTCTTGCGTAACTTACAGGATTCGTACGCAAATTTATTTTTTCGTAACTATTTGGTATTCACAAACATTTCGCAGCGTTTGCGTAAAGTTAAGTTTGCGCAAAAGCTACGCTTTACTTACGCAAAAAATAAGCGTAGCTTTACTTACGCAAAGCGTAGCTTTACTTACACTTTAAAGAAGTTATTTTTTTAAAAGTTAATTAAAATGTTAGTTTGACTTTCAATGATTTTTAATCAAGTTGAATGAAAACTGCTATTAGAGTATTAATTAATACCGTCAACCGGGGTTACTTTGAACGTTTGGAGATATTTTTGTATGCGCCTCCTTCATTAGTGACAATATTTAAAATATAACATTATGCATATAGGAGCTATGGCTGGCTCTTACATAGTTTAAACTCAAAATCATATTTAAACAAAAAGATTTGGTATAAAATTTATTTACTTAGTCGTTCAAAGTTACCTCGAAAATGGGGTTACTTTGAATATGTTTTGCTGTAAAAGCAAAACATATTCAAAAACACAATGCTTGGTTTTAAAATTTAATAAAAACAACACTCTAGGTTCATATTAGTTATCATCACTCAAATATTATAATATACAATAATATTTTTATAATATAATATGTAATAAAATTTTACCTAAATGGTTTTTTTTTTGTCTTACCGGGTATGTTTTAACAAGACCTGCATAAAAAGAATCTTCATTCTTTAGTTTTTTATGTTCAGGAGTAGAAGGCAACTCAGATGAAACAATAGTTTCACTAAGAAAAGACGATGCATGTGGAACATCATTAAATGTCGCTCAAAAATCCTCTAAAGAACTTTTACCAGGATCAACTGTAATTTTTTTTTTCGCTTTGGTTTTTCTTTTTCCTGGTCATCAACACAACGCAATCGCTTAAGTACATTAATTAAAGCTTGGCTAACTTTGCTTTTAAAACTTTCAACATTTTTATCAGCATCTGGTAAACGATTGCAGACAATATTTGCATTCAATGGGTAAATACCACATTTTTTAAAACCAGCTACTAAAGTGCTGCTTACCTCTTGATCTGGCGAATATATATAAGTATATAATTTTTTTAATAAAGAAGGAAATTTGTCTTTTGTAATTGTCTGTGTTTTTTTTGAACACGAAATTTTCCATTCATTAAGTATTTTTCTCCAATATTTTTTAAGTGGTCCAAAAAATGCAACATCAAGTAGTTACAGTAAATGGGTAGAGTTTGCAATTAAGCAAACAAACAAGATGTTGTTTTCTTTAGCTAATTTAAGTACCTTTTCACTAAAGTGACTGCTAAGATTATCACCAATTAGAACTTTGGTTCCTGGAAGATGTTTTAAACCAATCAGAAAAACAAACAGAATCAAACCATCCTGACTTACTTCGATTGAATTGTACATTAGGTGGTCCACCTTCAGTCCATGTTGTGCATACATGGTCAGCTTTATAAAGAACATAAGCTGGGAGCATTTGACCAAAGGCTGAACCACAAAACATGATTGACGTAACACTTTTACTACTGTTCTCAATACGTTCAGGATATTTCATCCCTCTTTTAAAAATACATAGTTTAGTTCCAGGATTATCTGACAAATTTGTTTCATCATAGTTAAAAACATTACAGGAAGGACACTGTTCTCTAAATTGACCGCCAGGTTAAAACTCTCCCCACTCCTGATTTTTTTGCATTTAATTAATCATATGCATTAGTAAACACAATTTAAGTTGTCATAAAAATCTGAACTAAGTGCTAAGTACATATTTTTCAAAATTATAACTGATAATTTTTTTCTTTTTTTTTTTGTAAGTTTAATTAAAGTCAGCCCTTATGGTAGTCAAATGAGCTATATATGGCAATGATATAATTGAGTTACGGATATAACTTTCACTTTTCAACATGGCGTCAGACTTCAAATTATGTACTTGTGCAGTTTGCTTGATAAATAAAGGTATCAGATCAAATCTTTAACACCTATAACACCTTCATTGCGCGAAAAAATTCAAGAATACATCTGGCCAAACTTCGATTCTGATCTTGAAATTTGTCCTTCTGTAGTTTGTTCCAACTGCAGAAGAAACTTATTTAGTCTAAACAAAGGGGAGACTGCATGTCTTTCTAACTGGTTAGAGACTATATCAAAGGTACTTTAATGTGGATGAATTGCTACTTTTGGTGTTTGTGTTGTTGTCTATATATATATTATAAGTATACACACACACACTCATATATATATATATATATATATATATATATATATATATATATATATATATATATATATATATATATATATATATATATATATATATATATATATATATATATATTATATATATATATATATATATATATATATATATATATATATATATATATATATATATATATATATATATATATATATATATATATATATATATATATATATATATATGAGTGTGTGTACACACACACACACATATATATATATATATATATATATTATATATATATATATATATATATATATATATATATATATATATATATATATATATATATATATATATTTATATGTATGTATATATATATATTTATGTATTTATATTTATGTATATATATATATATATATATATATATATATATATATATATATAATAAAAATCATGTAGTTTTTATGAATAAATATATTAGCACTGATTTAATTTATAAAGCACATTTGTATTTTAGATAAATAGAAATACTATTAGGAGAACCTCTTCACTGCAATGTATTCAGACAGATGTTGACCCAGAATTGAATTTTTCAAGTGTGAATAAGAAAATCTGTGGGCTCTGCTATTTGCATCTTGGTATGTTAATACTATGATTTTATAATTTAAATAAGATTAATTGAAGTTTGATTCTCTTTATGTTACATTATAGTTTGATTCAATGTATTATTGTTTTTTACGTAATTTCAAGCTACTGTTAAAATAGTTTTTTAATTTCTCACTATTACTTTTAGGTATAGGAATTTCTCATGATTGTTGCAAAAGTAAAGCTGTTAACAATATAATTGATATTAGTGAATCGCTTGGATATAAAGGTGCAGAGCAAGTAGCTTCTGGATTGTTAAAACGTAAAATGGAACGTGAAAACATTGTAAGTGGAGAGCAGTTCGTGTTGTCTACTGGTGGAAATCTTCTCTCTGTTACAGTTGGAGTAAATGAAAATAAGTCGAAAAGAAAGAAAGTAAATCAAGTTTCATTCCAAATTATTATGGAGTTATCGAATGTATTAGAACTCTCTAAGAACAAAACTAAAAAACTGTGTTCTACTTTACGCAGTAATCTAACTGGTGTAGAATCAAACATTAATATTAAAATGACTGAATTACAGGATACTCTAGAAACTTTATATAAATGTAAAACTGAAGAATTCCTTGACGGTGATGAAATAGTTGTTAGAGATATAGTTTATGTCAAGAATTCAACTGAATTTATCAAATTTATAATTGATGAAAGAGGTATTGATACCCCTAATGCAATAGCAAGAATATCTATAGATGGTGGTCAAAACTTCCTTAAAGTTATTATTAATGTTTTTGATCCAAAAAATCATTATTCTTCATCCGAAATGTATAAAGATTCTGGTGTGAAACGTTGTTTTATCCTTGCGATTGTGGAGATGGTTTCAGAGGATAATGGCAATCTCCAAAAATTATTGGAACTTTTGAAACTCGAAGAAGTAGATTTCAGTTTAGCATTTGATTTAAAATGTGCAAACAGTGTTTTTGGACTTTCAAGTCATTCTGGCAAATATGCTTGTCTTTATTGTGAAGGAGAATGCTCCCTCAAAGCAAGGAAACTAAGAACATTGGGTTCCATAGACTTATGTTATGATCAATATGTATGTGAAGGAAAAAAAAGACGAAAAATGCAGGATTACAAAAATGTTATAAATCCTCGTTTAATATACTTAAAAGAAAATCAAGAAACAATTCTTGAACACATTGTTCCTCCTCCTGAGCTCCATATTATGATGGGAGTTGTGGATAAACTTTGTACTATGCTTTTATGCGTTTGGCCACCTTTTCAAAATTGGTTAAAAACACATTACATATTAATGAGAGGATACCATGGAGTAGGTTTAGATGGAAACAATGCTAATAAATTTATGTCCTTGTTAGATGTTTTGGAGAGGGATGTTACCTTAACTGCAACGATTGATATTTTACCAATAATTAATTGTGTGCGTAAGTTTTCATTAGTAAAATTAGCAGTGTTTGGTTTAGAAATGGGTGCAGATATTTCTGCTAAAATCGAAGACTTTAAATGTTCTTTTTCAAGTCTCCAATTGTATGCAAAAGATATTTTTGACTATGACTTGAAAGTTTCCTGGAAAATACATATTTTAGTGTGTCATATTCTTCCCTCTATAGAACACAATAATATTAGCTTAGGAAACTATGCAGAACAATGTGGTGAAGCTGTTCACCACATATTTAAAAAAACTTGGGTGAACTTTAAAATAACTATAGGTCACAAAAATTATGGAAAAAAGCTAAAATTTGCTGTAGTTAATTTTAATTTAAATAATCAGTAGCATTAATATAATATGTGTTATATATTTATTTGTTATATGTGTTTTTTGTAAACGAAGTTAATAAATGTTGATGGTTTATTTTGACCACCATAATGGCTGACTTTAATCAAAAAGCGAAAAATTATCAGTTATAATTTTGAAAAATATGTACTTAGCACTTAGTTCAGATTTTTATGACAACTTAAATTGTGTTTACTAATGCATATGATTAATTAAATGCAAAAAAATCAGGAGTGGGGAGAGTTTTAACCTGGCGGTCAATTTAGAGAACAGTGTCCTTCCTGTAATGTTTTTAACTATGATGAAACAAATTTGTCAGATAATCCTGGAACTAAACTATGTATTTTTAAAAGAGGGATGAAATATCCTGAACGTATTGAGAACAGTAGTAAAAGTGTTACGTCAATCATGTTTTGTGGTTCAGCCTTTGGTCAAATGCTCCCAGCTTATGTTCTTTATAAAGCTGACCATGTATGCACAACATGGACTGAAGGTGGACCACCTAATGTACAATTCAATCGAAGTAAGTCAGGATGGTTTGATTCTGTTTGTTTTTCTGATTGGTTTAAAACATCTTCCAGGAACCAAAGTTCTAATTGGTGATAATCTTAGCAGTCACTTTAGTGAAAAGGTACTTAAATTAGCTAAAGAAAACAACATCTTGTTTGTTTGCTTAATTGCAAACTCTACCCATTTACTGTAACTACTTGATGTTGCATTTTTTGGACCACTTAAAAAATATTGGAGAAAAATACTTAATGAATGGAAAATTTCGTGTTCAAAAAAAACACAGACAATTACAAAAGACAAATTTCCTTCTTTATTAAAAAAATTATATACTTATATATATTCGCCAGATCAAGAGGTAAGCAGCACTTTAGTAGCTGGTTTTAAAAAATGTGGTATTTACCCATTGAATGCAAATATTGTCTGCAATCGTTTACCAGATGCTGATAAAAATGTTGAAAGTTTTAAAAGCAAAGTTAGCCAAGCTTTAATTAATGTACTTAAGCGATTGCGTTGTGTTGATGACCAGGAAAAAGAAAAACCAAAGCGAAAAAAAAAATTACAGTTGATCCTGGTAAAAGTTCTTTAGAGGATTTTTGAGCGACATTTAATGATGTTCCACATGCATCGTCTTTTCTTAGTGAAACTATTGTTTCATCTGAGTTGCCTTCTACTCCTGAACATAAAAAACTAAAGAATGAAGATTCTTTTTATGCAGGTCTTGTTAAAACATACCCGGTAAGACAAAAAAAAAACCATTTAGGTAAAATTTTATTACATATTATATTATAAAAATATTATTGTATATTATAATATTTGAGTGATGATAACTAATATGAACCTAGAGTGTTGTTTTTATTAAATTTTAAAACCAAGCATTGTGTTTTTGAATATGTTTTGCTTTTACAGCAAAACATATTCAAAGTAACCCCATTTTCGAGGTAACTTTGAACGACTAAGTAAATAAATTTTATACCAAATCTTTTTGTTTAAATATGATTTTGAGTTTAAACTATGTAAGAGCCAGCCATAGCTCCTATATGCATAATGTTATATTTTAAATATTGTCACTAATGAAGGAGGCGCATACAAAAATATCTCCAAACGTTCAAAGTAACCCCGGTTGACGGTATTAATTAATACTCTAATAGCAGTTTTCATTCAACTTGATTAAAAATCATTGAAAGTCAAACTAACATTTTAATTAACTTTTAAAAAAATAACTTCTTTAAAGTGTAAGTAAAGCTACGCTTTGCGTAAGTAAAGCTACGCTTATTTTTTGCGTAAGTAAAGCGTAGCTTTTGCGCAAACTTAACTTTACGCAAACGCTGCGAAATGTTTGTGAATACCAAATAGTTACGAAAAAATAAATTTGCGTACGAATCCTGTAAGTTACGCAAGAGTTACGAAAGTTTTGCACCATGATTCTGATCTTTTTAATTGTGAAGTAATTTGCTAAGATTTGAAATTTGCAGAGTTTTAAAGCCAAACTTCTTGGTTGTACACTTGTCTATAACTGATTTATTGTTAGTGTTTTTTTATATAAAAATACCTTAAAATCGCATAGAAAAAAACGTTATTTAAAAACAGACTAGTAGGTTAAATTGAATATTGCCTATAAAGGTTGAAAATTAAATTATCTCAAATTAGTTAAAAATGAAAATTTCTAAAACCGGTTGAAAAATAAACCGGGCGAAAATAAAAACATTAATCGGTTGAAAACAAATTGGTCTCGATACGACACCGGGAAAATATTTCCACTTTTTAGTAAATATTTTATTTTGTTTAGTATGATGAAGTTTTTGTTGATCTATTAATGTTTGTGATTTTAAACATTAGAAATAAAAATATCTATTTAAAAAAACAATAATTTACAAAAATTTTTCAAAATATAGTTCCACCCGGGCTTGAACCGGGGACCTTTCGCGTGTTAGGCGAACGTGATAACCACTACACTATGGAACTGCACATATATCGTATGTTTAGTATTTATATAAATCAATCTTTTAGGAGCAATTAATATTTTTGTACTAAAGCTATTCGAGTTCTTTTATTTAGAATAAGCATGCGTATTATGTCCAAACAAGAGCTTTAGATATCATTTTTTTTTGCTTCAGGTTTTTTTAATATTTAATGAAAACTTGCTTTTTTTTCTTTAGATCAATTCCGCTCATCAGGGTTAACATGAATTTAGTTAAAATCTTTTGAAAAAATTCCTTAATTTACTGTTGATCCTAGTTTTAATTGGTTCTGACGTATATTAATTATATATTGTTGTCAAAACACAATATTTCTATCAATTTTCACAAAAAATACTAGAACTCCGACTAAGAAAGAGAATATAATTGAGAAAAATGGGCAGTAATCGATCAGAACAGGTCATATTGTTAAACTATAATGTTCGTTTCATCTAAAAAAACGTATTTATTTTATACTTTTTTCAAATTTGGACATGCCATTGTAATTTTAAGAAAATTTTTTATTAAAAAAAGAATCTTCGGCCTGGGTTTTTTCGCTATACGCATTTATATTTTATGAGAGGGCAAAGTTTATCAAGGTCATACTGAAATTACCTGATATATATATATATATATATATATATATATATATATATATATATATATATATATATATATATATATATATATATATATATATATATATATATATATATATATATATATATGTATCAGGGGCGGATCCAGGATTTTGTAACTATGTGGCCAAATCTGGGTTCGCGGACGGCGCGAAGAGCTATTTTTTTTAAATAAGTGATAGGAAGAGATTGAGGGGGGGGGGGGGAGTAAAGTGCCTTGAACAAAAAAATAAATAAGCCTCAATTTTTTACATTTGTTAATTTTAAACTATATCTAAAATTCCCAGATACAATTTCATATTTTCAGTTGAGAAAGAAGGGGTGACATCACCCTATTAATGTCATGATTTTTTCTGTTTTTAGTTATCTATTTAACAATAAAGTTATTTAAATTGTTGCCTTGGCTATTTAGTTCATAAATTAGACATAATACTTGTCTAACTCACTTAACGAAGTGCACCAACGAGAAGGTAAGCCATAGGACTTTGCACTCCATCAGTAAACTGTCATGTTGCCTAAGGTTAGCCCTCCATTTCTGGATTCTTTCCTTTTCTTGATAGGCAGTTTAAGTAAAGTATTAGTAATGTTGCCTAAGGTTAGCCCTCCATTTCTGGTTCTTCCCTTTTTTTGATAGGCAATTTAAGTTAATTATTATTATTAATGTTTCCTAAAGTTACTCCTCTATTTATGGATTATTTCCTTTTCTTAATAAACAGTTTAACTTAAGTATTAGTAACCTTATTTAAGGTTAGCCCTCCATTTCTGGATTCTTTTTTTTTTTTTTTTTTTTTTTGATAGGCAGTTATGCACAAATATTTTAAATATTTTTATAATTTTTTTTACTTTTATTTTTTAATAAATAAATAAACAAGAAAAAATATAATACAACAAATAAAGTAACAACTAAAAAAGTAACAACCTAAATCACCTGAAAACGCTCTCAACATTAGGAATTAATTGAAATAGCAAATGAAGTATTGAGTTTCACAGTTTATATAAAACAATGAATAATAATAATTTGCTAATGAAAAATGATTTTCACAATTTACATGTTTAAAACAATGAGTAGAAATATTTTGCTTTTGAAAAATTATTTATATTTAAGAGATACTTTTAAAACAATAGTTAATACTTTAAACATAACATCAAAACTTTTATTTGAATAAAAACTCTAATTTTCTATCTCCTTTGGATGCAAATATTTCAATAACTCTGTTAATATCAGGAACTATTTCCTGATGAATAGACATTAAAGCAAGCCCATTCAATCTATTTTCTGACATAGTACTCCTAGTGTAAGTTTTTATTCTCCTAAGAGTAGATATTGACCTTTCACACTCACAAGTTGTGATTGGTATTGTAGCAAGTATATGAAAAGCCGCTAAAATGTTTGGAAAGCCTCTCATATCCATAAACTTTAATGTATCTGAAATAGTAGATGGTAATTCTGTCTTTTCTTTCCAAAATTCCTCCCATAACTCTAATTCAGCATTAATTGATGAGAAATGAGGAAGATCAGATTTATAAAAATTCAAAAAAATTAGGAATTTTTCTTTCCATGGACAAGATCTAAAATATTGCTTTGTTAAACTAGCAGGAATAGCACATAGACCATTATAAACAATTAAGCTCTCAATATCAAACCTATTTTCTAGTTCATTGAGAAGGTGATTGAGAAGAGGCAATGTAATAGAAACTTTAAAATAATCAGATACAGTATCACATATTTGATTATCTCTATGCTTCTGAACACCACATGTTCTAGGGTTTTTTTCATCAATATCAAATGTTTTAGCCAATGCAAGAGCAATTTTATACCATTTATTATGGTAAGCATCAGCATTTCTTTGCATTTCTCTTAAACGATTAGTCAAATTCTGAATTTCATCCAGTTGCTGGGAAATATCAAAAGATTTAGTTTGAAGAGTAACAGAAATTCCATAAAAGTAATCCATTAGTTGTTTAGTTAAAACTAAAGAAACTATAAAAGAAAAATTTGTCAATAACTTCATAAAAGAAGATGCTTTTGAAGATGTTTCATTATTGTACTCTTTTAAATTATTGTCTTCCATTTCTTCAAAAGCAGAAAAAACTGCAGAATAATTATCGAAAAACACATCAAGTCCACGAAGCTTTTGTACCCACCGAGTTCGACATATGTCAATAAGTTTTGCTTGACCAGGAAGAAGGTATTTCTTTAAGCAATTACTTCTTTTTGGAGAAAAGTTAAAAAAATAAGTTATGTCTTTAACTTGCTCAAGCCAATTTTTTACTTGCTGGATTTGGCAACTCTTCCCAACAACTAAACTAAGTTTATGTGAGGCACAGTGGACAAATAATGCCTTAGGATTAACATTTTTTATAACAGATGAAACACCTTTGTATTCACCTGACATTGAAGCAGCTCCGTCATAAGACTGGCCTCTGCATTTTCTTATATCTAAACCAAATTCTTTTAAAGTTTCAAGAATATTGGTAGCTATGCTTAAACCACTTGTACCTGTTTTACATTCAAAAAAGCATAAAAAAACTTCCTTAATATTACTGTTCAAGTCAACATAACGTATGACAATAGAAAGTTGTTCTATTGTTGCACAGTCTGAAGCCTCGTCTGCAATAATGGAAAAGTACTTACTTTTTTTAATATCATTTAATAAAACTTCTTCAACTGCATTTCCACAACACTCAATTAACTTGTTTTGAATGGTCTTTGAAATATATGTGGAATTTTTGGGGGCAGAGAGAAGATGCTCCTTTAAAATTAAATCACCTGCATCAACCCTAAAATTTAAAAGCTCAATGAAATTACCTAGCCCTGTATTTTTTGAAGATTCTCCAATTTCTCCTTGATATTTTCTATCGTCTCTATGACCTCGTAGAGGCATATCACTTCGACCTAAAAATATTATAGTCTTAACAATTGATTCAAGCTTTTTTTTGTTTTCTTCTATACGCTGTTTCCTAGAACTATCTAAAGAAACTTCAATAGGAAAAGAATTATTTTTAGCTCTAGATAAAAGCATATTATAACAATGCATGGACTTGATGTGTAATCCGTCAACAGTTTTCTCATGATCATTGAAAACTTTTACAGCAGCACGCCAGGTATTAAATGGTTCTTTAAACAATTTACATAATGCATATTTGTTTGGTAAATTTGTACCAAAAAGTGTACATGGAAGACAATATGCACCATCTTCAATTTTAGAGTAACAAAGCCAAGAAAAATCATCTAGCCATTTTAGCAAAAAACGTCTTTTTCTGCTTTTACCTGTTAAAGGGAATTGGAAACATTTATCCGGAACCCAGACATTATTAATTAGAGATAAAAGTTCATGATCATTTGTTCCTGATTTTAATTTTTCACCTTGTAGACAGTATGATGAAACATCATAGTTGGAATAAGATGCTAGCTGATTTGTATTTAATAAACTAATGTCAACAATATTGCTTTCCTTTTGTGGAACATTAGATTCAAGATTCATTTGCTTTTTATCATTGTTGTTGGCGTTTTTTGAGATAACTACTTCAGTTTTTACTATTTTATTACAAAAACTAGACTTATCTATATCTGAAGTGTTTTTAGAAACAGTAGGGAAAAATAATTTAGACTGAATTGGTTTCTGTATTTTGTTATCTGTAGGTGGAAAACTAGACTTAGAAACTTTTATTTTTTTGATGCTAAGTAAACTTGGATCACTCATAACAACAGCTGGACGTTTTTTAGAAAGATCTTTAACCAGTGCCACAAAATGATTTGGCTTAAAACATAAAATACTTTGGTTTTTTGTTTTATCTAAATTGCACCACAAAATATTTATTGGACAATTAAATTTTTGGATGCGAGGCTTTATAAGAGTATTAAAAAAACTATGATACTTTTTAAAACCGATTTCAGGATAAATAGATTCAATAGGTTGCTTTATAACATTAGATAATGCTATTAGACAAATGAAAGATGAAAATGTTTTATCAAAGCAATTTAAATACGCTTCTTTTAACAGAAGTTCAGAAATCATATTATCATTAATTGTTGAAAAACTGTCAGAGCATTTAAACGAAACAGCAATAAAAAACAAATTAGAAAGCTGAGAATATTCAGATCTATGTTGATTAAAATAACTACAAAAATAATCATACCTTGTGTAAAAATTTATGTTTTCAAATAACTCAATTGATGTCAGTAATCTTAGAATTTTTGAAGTATGACTATTGTCATTTAAAATCAAAGATACTGAACTATAAAGACAATTTCCATCTTCAGTAGATCTGAGAAAAATAGTAAAATATATTAAAATATAATAATGAGTATATACTAAAGTGTAATATCAATAACAAAAAAATAAAAAGTTCAACTATAAATATTTTTTTTTTTTACTAATATTACATTTTAGTATATACCATAATTTCTTATTAAAAAACTAAATCACTTTTTTTAGGTTATTTGTATGTTTAATAAATAATTTATTTTCATACACATTATCAAAAATATAAATCTGTGTTAATAATTAGTTAAACGTTTAACTAATTATTAACACAGATTTATATTCTATTGGTGTTAAAATACCAATAAATAAAATTAAAATCTAACATTGATCTTACATCTAGATCCAATTTGTGATATTATTTTAATTAAATAATACTTTCATAAAACTCAAAACAAACAAAAAATACCTCAATGCTGAATAACCAAGATTTTTTTTACTTAAGGGTACAAAATCCAAATTTTAGTTTCTAAAGACGATTTTAATGAAAATGTTACGGTAACGAATAAAAAACCCAAATTAGTTAGCTACTATATAAGAGAACATTTTTCTAAATCGGACACGTCAAAACTAACTGTGTGGCCAAGTTTAATTTTCACGGTTGAAAGATCTATATTTTATTAATTATTTGATAGCATTTATCGATTGAATAAAAGGTCGGTAACGTATAATAGGAGCCGTTGTGGCCATGGCAGGAATCTCTATGGCCAAATTACGTAAATTACGGCAGACGTAATGAAATTTTGAGGAATATTAGGCTAGCAAAGAAACCCAAAGCTAAGTTGGCTGCCGTTAAATTTTATCTCTATGGCCATAACCCGATAAGGGTTATCCATAAAGTACGTCACGCAGAGTTTATAAGTATTATTGACTCTCTATTGCAGAGAATTTTGAAATAATATAGCGGATGTTTACAGCGTTTTTAAAATTTAAATTTAGCGTGACGTAGTTTATCAACGACGAAAAATGATACGCAAGTCCTAAATTACATATAATTAAAAATATCTTAATAATTATATCTAAATCTAAAAGACTTTTGATAAGCATTAAATAATTTTTTTTTAATAAATCAATCTGGCTTTAAACTATGTGGCCATGGCCACAATGGCCACCCCTTAGATCCGCGCCTGTATATATATATATATATATATATATATATATATATATATATATATATATATATATATATATATATATATATATATATATATATATATATATATATATATATATATATATATATATATATATATTGCAGGGCCGGTGCACCCTATAGGCGAACTAGGCAATCGCCTAAGGCGCCAAAGTTTAGGGGTGCCTAAAAATTGATAAGTTTTTTTATATGCTAACAAAAAACAACGCTTTTGCTCATTGAGCAATATGTACGTACATTTTACCGAACGCAATCTAAATCATAACAAATATGGCGGCGTCTTTACAATCAAAGTAGTAGTAGTAGTAGAGAAATTGCTGCAACAGGTTTCCCTGTATAACCTACAGGTTTTGGCAGCCTTATCTACTTCATACATTAATTTTATTCATATCAATATATATAAAAATTTACAATAAGATGTATAGTATAAAGTATAAGTTTGTACTTTATTGTTTTTCCTTTGTTTTTTTTTTTGTTTTTTTTCTGTTATAATCTCGATACTTATGCGGATTATTTGAAATTTCTGCATCAAGCTTAGCCTTGAAACTGTTAACTGATGAAGCGCATACAACTTCTGACGGCAATGCATTCCAATGATTCACTATTCGATTAGTAAAAAACTGGTGCCTTTGCTCACAATTTTTAACATATTCTCTAGTCATTTTTAGATGATGTCCTCTAGTTGATTTTCATAACAACTTTCAATAGTTAGTCGACTATATTCTTTATATAATTTATACTGACAATATATATATATACACATATAGATGAATAGTGACATTCTATATACTATTATACATTTATATTAAGTTTTAGACACTTATTAAGAAAAGTAAAATATTTTTTATATGAATATATAATAACTAGCTTAAATCTAGGGCTATCATATATTACGTATTATATTATTATTATACTTCACCATACGTATAACTTTGCTATACAAAATAAAATTTGAATTATTTAAACACAATGCATCTAGCAGGTTAAATTTTTTGTTGAGTCGCTTCTACAATATGTCTTGATCTGTACCAGCTAATTACACATTGAAATCTCATTCATATAGCTAACTTCCATTTCCGTTTAAAAAATTACAAAAAATACTAGCAGGACGTATAACTGTGCCAAGTTGTTTTTTGTATAATACAGTTAAATGATAACCTGTTAAAACCTTACACAGCTGTTCAGACCTGTTGGAAACTATAGCTAGCTATATATAATTTATTCTTGAAGCCAATTACAGAAGACCTATTAATGTATTAGTTAAACATCGCAACATTCATTTATTTTATTATTTTCTTGTTACATTTCAGATATGGCTGAGAGAAAGAAGCCTTCAGGAGCTCAATATCGTAAACGAAAAGTTGAACAGCAGAGGGAACAAGAAAAACAGAAGGGTTCATTGCTAAAGTTTATATGCCGACAAGACTCTACTAAAGAGGATAGTAATGGTGGACAGATTCCCACTGATATGGAAGCTGAAGAAATATCTAATGTTGTTGATAATGATAATGTGATGATGAGTGAAACACTTTCTTACTCAACAGTTCCCGTTTCCCATGCAGATAATGGCCAATGGAATAATTCTCTCGAGGAACATGTACAGCAAGTAAGCGAAGAAAAAACGGATAATGTTATTCCACAGGATCCAGCACTTTGGCCTCTACTAATTAATCATAATACACGTGCAATCATTGTAGAACGTGAACCTCAGCAAATAAAAGATATCAGTTTCCCAAATGATAAGAACAATCGAAAGTTTTCAGTATTTCACTACTTAAGAAAACTTCCTAATGGAGAAGAATTATGTCGCAGCTGGCTCTTGTATTCAGTATTAAAAGACTCAGTGTTTTGTTTCTGTTGCAAACTGTTCAGTATGAAAGCAATTGGCATATCATCACTAACTCATACAGGTTCAAGTGACTGGAAAAACATGGCGGCAATTCTTTCTTCCCACGAGAAAAGTCCTGAACATTTGCAGAACTATCAAAAGTGGAAAGAACTACATCAGCGATTACAGAGGAATAGTACAATAGATGAAGAAATTTTGCGCAAGATGAAGAATGAAGAAAAGTATTGGCAGCAAATACTAAAGCGTTTAATAGCATTAGTCAGAGTTTTGGGTGAACAGAATCTAGCTTTTCGCGGTACAAATGAAACATTGTACAGTGCCAATAACGGTAATTTTTTAAAATTTGTGTAATACTTAGCCATTTTTGATCCATTAATGAACGAACATCTACGAAAGATATCAAATAAAGAGCTTCATACACACTATCTTGGCAAAGATATACAAAATGAACTTATTCAACTGTTAGGAAATGCTATTAAGAAAGAAATCATACAAACAGCAAATGCAATGAAATATTTTTCAATAGTTCTCGATGGTACTCCTGACTGTAGCCATGTTGAGCAAATGACAATAATTATTCGTTTTGTTAAAGTTGATTCATTGAAAAAGGAGTTTAGTATCAAAGAACATTTTTTAGGCTTTGTACCTTTAAAGAAAACAACTGGAGCCTATATGGCAGAAACGATAATACAACAACTAGAAGAAATGGAGTTACCTATTGATAATTTACGTGGCCAAGGCTACGATAATGGCGCAAATATGATAGGCAAAAACAATGGTGTTCAAAAGAAAATATTAAACATTAATCCTCGAGCATTGTTTGTTCCTTGCAGCGCGCATACTCTTAATTTGGTTGTCAATGATGCTGCAAATTGTTGTCTAATGGCTACAAGTTTTTTTGATATTGTCCAACGTGTGTATGTATATTTTTCGTCTTCAACACATTGGTGGGTAGTTTTCACTAGTCGTCAACCTACGTTAACTGTTAAACCTCTAAGTGAAACAAGATGGGAAAGCAGAATAGATGCTATAAAGCCTTTGCGATATGAACTTGGTAAAATATATGATGCACTGCTAGAAATAGCTGATGATACTTCTCTAACTCGATCCTCAGGAAGCACTGCACGCAGTGATGCTAAAGCACTTGCGAATAGTGTTGCAAAGTTTAAGTTCGTGGTTTCAATTGTTGTATGGTACAACATACTTTTCGAAATCAATATAACAAGTAAGCAGCTCCAAGCTAAAGATTTGGATATTCATGCTGCTGTACAACAGTTACAACACACACAAGTCTATTTGGTTGACTGTAGGAGTGACATAGGTTTTGCAAGAATGCTAGTGGATGCTGCTGAAATTGCTAAGGATTTGGAGATACCACCAACCTTTGAGGCAGAACCACGATTACGGCGGAGAAAAAAGCAATTTGCATATGAAGCTGAAGATGAGCCTGTGCAAGATCCAAAACAAAATTTCAAAGTGAATTTTTTCTTTGCTATACTTGACACAGCAATAAGGTCGGTTGAAGAAAGGTTTGAACAAATGAGAACAATTGAATCTGTATTTGGTTTCTTATATCATACTCATGGTCTACAGAGTAAAACTTCACAAGAAATATTGGAATGTTGCATGAAAGTAGAATCTGCTTTACAACATGGTGATAACAGAGATTTAGTTGCATCAGATTTGTGTGGCGAACTACAGTCTATTGCACGACGACTTTCTGAAGAAACAAAGTCTCCTCAAGATGTTTTTCGATTTATTCTTTGCCAAAACTTGGAAGACAGTCTACCCAACCTTTGTATTGCTCTTCGTATTTTGCTGACATTACCTGTTTCTGTCGCTAGTGGAGAGCGTAGTTTTTCCAAACTAAAATTGATAAAGACATACATTCGATCATCCATGTGCCAAGACAGATTGGTTGGGTTGGGAACTCTTTCCATTGAGCACGAACTTGCAGACAAGCTGGACCTGAAGGACCTTGTGATCGATTTTGCCCAGAAAAAGGCACAAAAAGTACAGTTTTGATATTTTTAAATAAATAAATACTTACCTGGTGTTTTCACTTTATTTTGCATTTTATTTTGATTTTTTTACGTAAAAGGGGTGCGACCTTTGAAGTTTTGCCTAGGGTGTCATAACCCCTTTGCACCGGCCCTGAGTGTTTGTTGCACATATTGCTTTATAATACATACCATCGATATATCAATGACATATCTTTAATATGGTATATTATATCATATAGAGAATGTTTTGTTTACCGGAATGATAATTAATGCCAATTTATATAAAATCTTATTTAGTAGTCAAATAAAAAATGAACTACCATCACAAATCTGCATCTCAAAAAAGGAAAGACTTTCCAGATCCTGATAACATAGAAAATAAAGATGACGTGAAGCCCGGCAATTAGTTCCTATCAACAATATCTCTGAAAATTATAAATCAAATATAACTGATAATAAAATTACTAAAACAAAACTGCTTGACTTTGATGTTGGTAGTCTAAAAAATGAAAGACCAAATGCTTCTGAAATTGAGGAAGCAGTTCGTAGGGGTCCAGAAAAGATCCCATCTCAATTTCCAAAAGATGTGAACGGACATTCATTTCCTGTTTGTATACTACATACAAGTATGAAAAATGGAGAATATGTTCCCCGTGATTGGCTTGTTTGGAGCAAAGTTAAACAATCGATATTTTGTTTTCCATGTCGCCTTTTTAGATCTTGAGGAAACGTTTGGTGTTGTATGGAAATACATGACATTAGATAAAGATCTGCTGCGTGAGAATGCTTCATCTATTTGCGTTAGATACAGCATTGATGTTTCTCTCGATTTAATAGACGACTTAAAACATTTAAAGGCAATTCACGCATCAAATCTTAGCATAATACAATTATCGCCGTTTCAATTATTAAACAAACTCCATGAGTTGAAGCTTGATTCTTTTTTCCCAAACAATTTAGCTGTTCTTAAAATTTTTTGTATACTTCCAGTTACCGTTGCACAAGCAGAACGCTCTTTCAGCACGCTGCAAGAGTTAAAAATGTTATACGTTCTACAATGTGTCAAGATCGACTTTCTAATTTGGGAAGACTAGCGATTGAGGCGCCACTTGCAAGGAAACTAGACTTTGATGCAGTTATCGAACTTTTTGCAAGCAAAAAATCTCGCAAAGCTTATTTTGATTAATTGCAGTACAATTAAATACAATTATTTATTTTGAACACTTTGAATTCAAAATATTCTTTTTTTTAAAAGAAAACTAAATAACATACTTGTTTGTCTGTAAAACTCTCTTAGAGAAATTAGAGTCTTTATTAATACTTTTTATTTTAATTTACATTCTCTTCTTTTTTATATTATATCAAGTTAATTACTTATAGTAAAAATATTAAAGAAAAGGCTACTTAATTAAAAAGCCTTTTATTACAAAATTTTTTGTAATTAATTGTAACTTAGTTAATCCGCGCAGCGGCCTTGCTTGCTAAAGTTCGTGTTTCTGAGTTAAAGAGTTGAGAGAGGGTTGTACCACAATTAACAACAAAAAATAAAAAATAAACACAAAAAAATAAACACAAAAAATGAGTAGCCTCCACGACTATAGTGACCCCTCGGCCTTGGGAAGGTGAATAATGTAAAAAAAAAAAATTTCTAACAAATGAAACTTGTCAAAAAAGTGAAAGAATTCGTTGAACAACCTAATTAATTAAAGACACATCTAGTCCTAGACTTTAAGATTGATTTTGATTTAAGTTAGACTAAAGACACGTCATAGACTTTAAGTTTGATGTTTTTAATATGGATATGAATATTAATGTAAAATAAAGGAGGCCCGCCAAAATATTTACCCCGGAACCCGGCTAGGCTCTCTACGGCCCTGTATATATATATATATATATATATATATATATATATATATATATATATATATATATATATATATATATATATATATATATATATATATATATATATATATATATATATATATATATATATATATATATATATATATATATATATATATGTATATATATATATATATATATATATATATATATATATATATATATATATATATATATATATATATATATATATATATATATATATATATATATATATATATATATATATTAGGCATAGAGTTTTGTCATATATTAAATTTTACAATGAAATAAAACGCCTTAATAAATACAAGAGCTGGAACAAGCAAAAGACATAAATTGTCATATCATCAAGCCCCATTATAAAATTTACATTAAAAAATCGTCAGTTAATATAGAAAAATGAAGAGTAGCTAAGTACATAATAAGAATTTTAAACACGTTAGTTACAATATAACTAATAATATAATATAGATATTAGTGTTGAAATATAACGCATTATATCAAAGATTAAAATAATTTAAAAGTATTCAATTTTTTCAACAAAAAATTAAATTAGATTAAAATTGCAACAAAAGAGAAGGAGTGTCAATAACTATTTTTTTACATAATTTATATTATTTGTGAATAATTTTTAAAAGAAGTATTTTAAATCAAAGTCTTTTTGTAATAAGAGATTCTTAGATTCTTTTCTGAATTTTTCCAATAAGATGTTTTGAACATTATTATTTTTTGTGATAAATTTTGAAAAATATTTCCATTGAAACGGTCCGCGGTATTGGATTTTGTAAGAATTTAGTTATGAATTAGTTTTTGGAACAATAAAGTTATTAATTGAAAATTTAGTGGAATCTTGTGCGATATTTCAATAAATTAAGACTAAAATACAATTAGAGAGCCCATGTTTAGTTTTATATATGAATTGTAGAACTTGGTGAATATTAAGTTTATAGACACTAGGGCACCGAGCTTCCTTAAAAGAGGTTCGCAATGAAAAGTTCTGTGTGCACCAAAAATAATCCTGCATGCATGTTTTTGCTTACTATGAAGTTTTTTCAATTTACCATAGTTATTACTATCCCATACAATATTGCAGTAAGAGATAAGTTAAACAAACTTTTATATGAAGATCAACTTGGTTTTCAAAAAAGTTGCTCATCAGAGCATGCTATTATTAAACTTACTAATAAAATATTTCAATTTTTGGATAAAGGGGATCATGTACTGGGAGTATTTATAGACCTTTCAAAAGGTATTTGATACAGTTGACCACAACATCTTACTATCAAAACTAAAACATTATGGTATCAAAGGACTAATGTATAAATTGGTAAAAAATCTGAGTAACAGAAAGCAGTTTGTAATTAACAAAGATTCAAGTGTTCTTGATATTGAGTGTGGGGTCCCTCAAAGCTCAATCTTAGGACCGTTATTGTTTTTAATTTACATCAATGATAAGCATAAAGCATCATCTATAGTATCATTAATAATATATGCTGATGACACAACTTTATTTTATAATCATAGTAATTCAAAATCGATGTTCGGTAAAACGAATATTGAACTGGAAAACTTTAGTTTATGGTTTAGAGCAAATAAACTATCCATAAACTATGAAAAAATTAACTACATCTTATTTCATAAAACAGGTCAATTAATGTCTCTAATGTTAAAAATTCCTGAGTTGCTTATTAACAACATAACAATAAAGCGGGAAAAATATGCAAAGTTTCTTGGTGTTCAAATTGATGAAAATTTATCATCGAGAAATCATAAAGAACACATTGAATCAAAAATATCATCTGCAATAGGTATTATATATAAATGTTACCCGTTTCTTGATTTTTGTTCAAGAAAAAAACTTTACTTTAGTCTAATTTACAGTCATCTCACATATGGTAATATAGTGTGGGCTTATACACACAAAACAAAATTAATCAAACTACAAGGCGTGCAAAACCATGCTTGTAGAGCAAGTTATTATCTAAGTAGAATGGAAAATCCTTTCAATGCGATGACAAATATGAAAGTCTTAAACTTGGAAAGACTTAATTTATAACAGATTCATATTTTTATGTTCAAATATAAAAATAATATGCTACCAAACATATTTTAGACATATTTTCGTCATGATTTTCTCAAAATTATAATCTGCGATCAAATAGCTTCCATAACTATTATATTAAAAAAACTAAAACCTGGGGTTCTGAATTTTCAATTATGTCACAAGGTCCCAAAATATGGAAAAACTTCTATCTTCTAAAACTATAGTCCTCAGTTTAAGGCTCTTCAAGACGGAGAGAACATTGTTGACATTCCAGAAACAATACTAAAAAATATGTCAACATATCAAAAATAATCCTACAAGTTATGTAAAGAAGTTAAGATTGGTGTACTGCCACCTAATCTAAGAGAAATTGAATGCGGCCCCATAAGTCATGCCAGATGGCTTACTACTGGTATGTGGACAAGACAACATGACTTAACTTAGCAGAATTTGAAAAATTTACAGTTACTTATCTTGTTCAGTTTACAATTTTACTTTAAAATTTTTTTGACATAAAATTAAAAGACAAACTTGAAAATGCTCCTATTACATTCTTTCTCAATTGAGAATTCTCAGAAATCAACCTGATAGGGTAAAAGATATTGTGACTCCCTACATCCAGTTAGGAGCTTGGTATGCAAACTATGAAAGTATTTTAACCTCTTTGTTATCCAGTAACAATACAGAAGATCGCAACTTTGCAGTTGACCATATTTTGAAAAAAGGGGTATTGATATCTTTGGAGATATGCTAATTCAACCAAGAAAAATACCTAAACTGAACTTTGCAGCAACTGCTTTTCAAGAGCTATTTGAATGGAGAAATAGAGAAGTACAAGAACCTGTTTTTACTTGTTCACTTACTAATGATAAGTTGTTATTGCTAAGATTGACACCTTTAATAACTCCTTCTTTCAAAGTTCATACACAAAGTACTGAGCGTGCTGTAAAACAAGTGAGAGTAGCATCTATGTTGGTAGTTGGACCAGATGCAAGAGATGGGTATATTAGAGCTAAAGCTCAACATAGAGAGGTATTACCTGTGTTTAGAACTGAGAAAAAAATTTTATTAAGCTTTTAATATCAATAAAC